TTAATGGGAATTAACCAAAACATATAACATTAAAACATGACGGACATATATTGAGATATTTGCCTACTGGCTACTTGGATATACTATGGGTAATACTCTGTAGCAAGTGTCCACCTCACTCAGGGTCTCTGTCCTTAGCCACTTGCAGAGGCTGTTCTACAGTTTGAATAGTTGAAGCAACTATATGCCACTCCAAATTGATATATTTTAGTTGGAGTATATCCATCATCTTCCATCCAAGCTGTACTACAGATCTTTTATCGGGTTTCTGAAGAAGCTTCACTGGACCCAAAACCTTAACTCTGATTTCTCTTCACAGATTCTGCCAGATCTGCTGAGATTTTCCAACAATTTCTGTTTTTGTTTGTGTTTTATCAGATTTACTTTATATTTGATATAGGCCCTCAAAAACACTGACCTGCCCATCCACGCAGGAACTCAATTAAAGATAAATGAACATGGTGTTTTTTATTGTTGCAAACATTAATACTGTATGTTATCACATAACTAAAGTACAAGCCTTGATACCTATATATTGTTTTTGCTTTTGAGTGGAATTCATGTAAAGTTTGGTGAAAGTGAATTAACTTTAAATCCCTCAAGTGATGTGAATACTATTCCTGGTATCTTGGTTAACATTCATCATTCACAGAATCCACAGAATTGTTATGGTGCAGAAGGAGACTATTCAGGTGATTGTGCCTGCACTCACTCTTCACCCTAATTCATCAATGTTCAATCAACATTACAGACAAAAACCTTACCTAGTTATTAGCACATCACTGTTTGTAAGAGTTTGCTATGTACGCACAGACTTGCTACATTTCCTACTTTACAAAAGTTCAAAAACTGCAACAGTTCAAAAGCTACTGTACTTGTGGTAAGTAGAGGCATCCATCCAGTGGTTGTAAAAGATGATAAGTAAGTGCAAATCATTTTTTTCTCTAGGTGGAGGATAAAGAACTGTCAAATAATGTCCACCATTTTGTTTTATTTCAGTTACAGTTGATTAGCTTTATATCACCCTCATTAGATGCTCGTATTTAAGTACCATTAATGTGTATAAACATCTGTTTCTACCTCCTGAAACCTAGATGAAAGATCTGGGAAATGTAAGGTTTTCCATGAGAAAGGAAATCTATGAATAATCATCTTAACCTATCCCTCCAAATCTGAAAGCCCTGAAGAAAGGCATTGAAATCAATAGCAATGTCTTTTGATTATGATCCTGATGCTTGCTGTCATATTTGGTTTCTTCTATCACAAGCTAAGTATTTGACTTAACTCCTCTCTTTGAAGTGATCTTACAGGGTATATGAGTGTTAAGGACATCAGAAAGTTAACCTGAAACATTACTTTAAGTTACACTACGAAAGAAGAATAATAGAAATACAGACTAAAATAAGTAAATATAACTTTATGATTGATTTCACGAACTTTTTTTACCAGAATCTGTGGAATATACATCCAGATAGGTTACTGGAGGTAAAAATAGTTTAATCATTTCAGAAACAACTGGATACTCAAATGAAAGGTGACTAGAATCTCTTTAGATATAAGTTGAGTGACGTCACTCATTGATAATTATCTTTTGACCTTGTGAACGTACAAACTTCTGACTTGGAAGTAAGAGTGCTACCAATTGGGCTGAGTTGATTATGTTAATACAAATTTGAAACCATTGACAATGGTACAATGATAAAACTGTATTTGATGTCATATAAACCCATGTTTTGTAGAAGCTCATTATTATCTGCAGTCAAGGTTCCATCCATTTGGCTTTATCTTCTTTAATGTTGCTGCATGCTGTGCTGAGAGTGTGTACTAATTTTTTTCCCTCTTGTTTTCTTCGCTGGGGACAGTTTAATTTAAATTACTAATGCTTGTTCTAAATGCCCAACCTCATCCTTTTTGCACTTACCTCCATTAAATGCTTGTCACCTGTGATGTAAACTTCCTCATCTATTAAAAATCCCTTTGTATTCAGTCATATTTTTCGTATTATATATATCACCACTTATTATTAGATATTTTCATCAAACTGTATTTCATAGAATCCCTACAGTGCGGAAATAGGCCCTTCGGCCCAACAAGTCCACACCGACCCTCACAGCATCCCACCCAGACCCATCCGCCTATAACCCACCTAATCTACACATCCTTGGACTGTGGGAGGAAACCAGAGCACCCGGAGGAAACCCACGCAGACACGGGGAGAATGTGCAAACTCCACACAGACAGTTGCCCAAGGGTGGAATCAAACCCGGGTCCCTGGTGCTGTGAGGCAGCAGTACTAACCACTGAGCCACTGTGCCACCCTCCTTTTCCATTTCTAAATGATTCTGCACTTTTTAGATTTCTGAACACTAATCAGAGTTCACCTGTATGTCAGTTCTTTTATAAAGTTCCATATATTGACATATCTTGTTTGCTCTGATTTAATCTGATTTAAACAATATTCAGACTACACTGGGATGTGCCTTGTTATTTCATGCCTTTCCCTCGTAAACCAATACTCCAATGCTTTTACTAAAGGATAAAAATGTCAACCATGGCTCAGTTGGTTCACTTCTGAGTCTGATTGTTATGGGCTCAAGTGCCACTTCAGGACTTCATAGAATCCTTACAGTGCAGATAGAGGTCATTTGGCCCATCAAGTCTGCACCAACCCTCTGAACAGCATCATACCCTATCCCCATAACCCCACATTTATCGTAGTTAACTCAACTAGCGCGCATATCCCTGAACACTACAGGATAACTTAGCATGGCCAATCCACCAAACTCACATCTTTGGACTGCAGGAGGAAACCAGAGCACTCAACAGAAACTCACGCTGCAAACTCCACACAGACAGTCATCCAACTTTGGAACCAAACCCAGGTTCCTAGCGCTCTCGGGCAGCAGTGCTAACCACTACGCCACCCAACTTGAGCAAAACAATTAAGGCTAACACTCTTTTGCAGTGCTGACAGAATACTATTTTGTCAGAGATACTATCTCTCAATTGAGATGTTTAACCAAGGTTTAGTCTGCCCCTCAGGTGGATATAGATGATCCTATTGCACTATTTTGAAGAAGAGGAGGGGTATTATCCTTAACTTTCTAGACATTATTTATTTCTTAATTAATATTTGCCATTTATGGATGCTTGCTTTGTGCAAATTAGGTGGTATTTCCTACATAACATCAGTGACTACACTTCAAATGTGTTTTATTGGCCTAAAGTGCTTTGAGGAATTTGGTGGTCATGAAGAAGATTACATAAATTAAACCTTTGTTTTCTTAAGGCCTGTCATTTCTTCAAAAAACTGCAGTAGATTTGTCAAAAAATAAATAGCCTATCACAACTGCACTGATGTTTGGGTTGTACTATAAGAAAAGAATCCATTTGGGTTGGATGATAATTAATGTCTGAAAATATTTCAAAACTATTTCCAACCTGCCAATTCCCAGCTTTAACAGAGACAAGCAACCAATCTGATCCAAGACAGTGTGTTACGGCTTTAAATATGACAACCAAGCTGTAAGCCTTGTTGCTGTACAGTTTTTCAACAATAACGTGAGCTTGTCCTGGTTTCATGAGCATGGGGCAGCCTGGCAGCTTTACTGAGGTGAGAACATGGTAGATTCAGGAGGTGACTGCCTTCACATTTGCCTTCTGAATCCTGGCCCCTTCCTGAGAAATCTCTGTGATTGGGGACCTCACAGAATCTTCCTGTTCCAGCCTCTAAATCTACCGTGAAAGCCATATTTTTGGATATCCCAATCCCACTCCTCCTGCTCCACCAGTAGAGATCAGATGGCCAATCATACCCAAGGTATTTGGTGCCTCCTCAGCAGAGGAGTTTGATTTTGAGACACTGACTATACAGTGACCTTTGATCCCTCCCAAGACTACCCATCCATTTCCAAATCATAATTCCTTCCAACCTGAGGCATCCCATTGCGACCTAACCCACCCACTTAGGCCTCTGATTACCGATCCACCCCGACTCATGTCTGCAATTGTTCCCTCTTTTGAAATCTCTGAAATTCCCCAACTTCCAGTTTGCAACCTTCCTGCCTTGATTAACAACAGCCCCACTTGACGTATCAATTTTTCCAAATGAGCCTCTTACTTCCCTTTCCATTTTACCCATCTCCTTTTTGCTCAATCGACTGACCTCTAATCAACTCTCTCCTATAATTGAACCTCAGTTATCACCCAGTCCCCCAATCTGTCCTTTTAACTCTCACACTCTGATTGAACACCCCTTCCTCCTTCCCAATTAAACCATTCCCATTGACTTCTCATCTGATGGATCATCCATGTCCTCAATCTCTGATTGCCAGAGATTCAAGCCTTTTACTTCCTTATGTGACTAACTCTCTGAAATTACTAGAGGTCAGCTGTCAATCCGGATGGCCTCAGGAAGAGGACAGTAACATCCACAACACGCTACAGAGTTAAAACTCCACATTGTATGAAAAGATCCAGAATTGTGGGTTCCCCAAGACTTTTTGACCAGCTCAATCCCTGGGAATCAGATGAGTAAAGACTCTTTCCTCCTTGTTCTGTATTGCTCTAAGTCCCCATTCCTTTATCTTTTAGGATGCTCTGTAATGTATGCTTTGTTACACCACGCAACTTTCCAAGACTGTTTCTAAACACAATTATAACATGTCATAGTACGTTAAAACGGGGGATAAAGAGCTGGTCAAAATTACACCATGGCAACATTCACGCAGCATTCTGGTACAGAATATGTTTTATTTTAAATTTGGTTTTTTGGATAAATTTAAGTGAAATTGTGTCCCAAATAAAACATTAATTGTTTCAATTCCATCTTCACCATTGAAATTAATCCACATATAATTCCAAGCTACTTCAAACTTGTTGATTATCGATCGATAGTTTCATAGTAACATGTGTTACAATAATAACTACAATTATTTGTTCTTGATCTGACAATTTCTTTAAAAAGGTATCATGCCAAAATGCAAAAGATGGTTGTTGATTTACGGGATCCCAAGCTACTTAACATAGAAGAGTTAAGTTTGAGTAATTGTGTTGCTTCATATTAAAAATTACTGAAAAATTTTAAGGAACTATTGATGAAAGACAAGCTTCAATGTGTAACATTATGCAAGATTATCCCAATTCATCCAACAGATAGGAAACTTGTACAGTAATAGCTGTTGTAGGAACACAAGCAACATTGAAAAATTTGGCAAGGTTTGAAAATTAACATTTTTGCAAAAGTACAGTTTTTCTATTCAGATTTCAGCAACAGCAGGAAGTAAGCAGACTCTCTTTTGGCCATCTTTCCAAGTACTTCTGCGGTGAGACACTCCACTGCTCATCGAGATCTGTGTAACTGTTACATTATTTTCTTGCGAGGTCTGGGAGTCTGTCAAGGTTTTTAGGGTACCTTTGAAATGCTCCACAGGCTCCAGCCATGTGATTTCAAGTGACAAAGCTGATGGTGCTTGTAGCTGTCTAGGCATCCTCTCTACTTTATATTTTAGAATAATTCCCTTGGATGACTGAGGCCGGACCTTGTTACGACTTATAAAATTCATTTTGGCGTTTGAGATTCTTGTCGTCTCTATACTTAGGTTAATGTTGTGTTGTCTTGAGTCTGAATTCTGTAAACGTAATTCAGCGTAGCTCCTTTCTTTCTGTAAGGCTCCTGGGGAAGAAGTTTGAGGGACAAAAGATTTCTTTGATTCAGATTGTTCTTTTATTAAGTTTTTAATGTTTAAGTTGGTATTTAACTTTTGTTGTAACACTGCTTTATCAAAGGGCCTGTTGTGAAACTGACAGGGATGATTTCCTTTAGAGATATTTGGAAGTGGTCCTTCCTTGATATCTTTCTGCCCATATAGTTCTTCCAATGGGTCAGATTTGACGTGGGAAGAATTTATCTTATTCTTTTCAAATGTGATGATGGCATCATCCAAGGACATTACACCAGCAGGACAGGAATGTTTAGCATCCTTCAAAAAAATTTTAGTGGAGGCAGGTTTGGCTTGTGAGTGTGATCTTTGTTGGAGAAATTTGGGTTTGCTCATTTTTCTAATTTCACATGTGTTATCCTGTGGTGCATGAAATGTTGGCTTTGCCAGCTGACTGACAGAGTGCAGATAGTCATCGATTGATACAGAATCAGAATTATTGCCATTCATATTAGGGATTTCTCTATTAGTGTTGTGTAGCATGTCTTCATGGGCTTCATCAATTGTTGGGAGATACTGTACTAAATTCAGCCTAGAACTTGGCCTCATGTCTAGGGAAAGAAAGAAAGTTTAACAACATAAAACAACTCATGTAAACGCCATTTAACATGTTTAAAAAATTTTAATATTATGGGGCTTCCAATAAAAATAAAGGAATTTCTGTTTATATAATGACTGTCATAATCTCAGGATTGTTCTGAGATCATATGAGGATGTAACCTATCCTCATACTGGTATTATACAACATTTATTAACAATCCCAGCAAAATACTGTGGAAGTGGAGATCTGAAATAAAAACAGAGTGTGCTGGAGAAACTCTGCAGGTCTGGTAGCATCTGTAAAGAGAAAAAGAGTGTTAATGTTTCCTCTTCAGCACATTTATTAATTTTTCTTAATATTTATGATTTACATAATAAACATGAAGGGTAGAAGAGAGTATTCTTAGAATCTAACAGCTTGGTCCTAGTTCCAAGTGTGTCTCAATGTAAACAGACATAATTGATGATGTGTCCTATTCATTCACATAATGGGACTTATCCATTACCCTACAAGGACATCGTGAATTTGTTTGCAGACAATTAAGTACTTTTGAAATGTATCACTATTGTAACATAGAAAATGACAGATGTTAACCGGTGTGCAGCAAGTTCATGCAATCTAATAGTGTTGGTTGATAGCAACCTGAACACTGACAGAATACCCTGCTCCATTTCCAATAGTGTCAGGAGAACTTTCCATCGACAAAATTCTAGCTTGATATTTCAGTACACCATGGAGTGAGTGCTGCATTATTAGATGTACTATCTGTCAGACAAGATTTTTAAACCGAGGCCCTGTTTGCCCACTCAGGTCAAAAAAAAGACACTATAGCAGTATTTTGAAGAAAGCAAGGGAGTCTTCCCCAATGTCTTGTACAATTTTTAGTTTCATTTAAGTGATATTGACTGAAGGATAATTATCTGGTCAGTATTGTGTTGCACTTTATAGGAGCTTGCTGTGTGCAAAATGGTTTTCTAAACTTCCTACATTACAATACTGATTACTTCTCAAAAGTACTTCATTGATTATACAACTTCTGAAATATCCTGAGGTTGTGAAAGGTGTTAACTGGAAGAGTTGTTTCACTTAATACTGCAACATTTTTTTTATTGATATAGAACTTTTAATGAAATGAAATGCGCTAAGGTGCTTCACAGCAGCAGTATAAAAAGTTTTGTCCAGATCTTCTGATTGGAATATAGTCATTGCAGCATCGCCCTGAAAGATGTATGACTGGACTCCTCTGAAGTCCTAGCACACTGGCTATCCGAGAAGTGTCTGGGAAGTTTAAACTTTTGATGTGCAATTATACAATGTATGGAATGTTCAGAAAAGTGCCTGACACTGAGTTAGAGTCAGAGACTAATTTGACTGATGGTCATCCAAGAAACGTTACAGGATTAAAACTATCTCTAATGCTTGGGCAATTATATAATTCAAACCCTAATTACTTGCACTGACCCCAACCAATCCCTAGGATTGATCTTCAAACCACTAACAGTGACCTCCAGTCACTCAGAGACCACCAACCTGGTTCCGCAACCTTGACATGATCTCAGACCCAAAGTGACTCAAGAATACCCAATCCGCACTAATATCCACCGTAACATCTCCAGTAACCTCCTCCAGCCTCTCCAGCTCACTTTCCCCAAACTCACCCTACTTCTCACCTACTTACCTGCCATTCTACTCCTTTGTGCCCTTACATGCCATCTTGCACAATCATCAACCTGCTACTCTAGCCTTCACCCATCTACCTCTCATTGACATGAGGAATACACCAGTGACCAGAATTAGAGGAGGCTGGATCTCACAGACAGTTGTGGAGTTGGCAAAGATTACAGAGGTAGGGCAGTGCAATGCCATGGATGGATTTGAAAATAAAGATGAGGGCTTTAAAATGAAGACAGGTGCTTGACTTAGAGCTAATGCAGGTCAGCAAGCACAGTGGTAAGAAGAGGACTTGGTATGAATTAAGACATGGGCTGTGGAGTTGTGGATGTCTTAAAGTACCGAAGGGTAGAACACGTGAGACTAGTCTGCAGCATCTTTGAATAGTTGAATCTAGTGGTATTGAAGGCATGAATAAGGATTTGGTCTGTAGCTGAGCTGTGAGAAGGATGACGTTGGCTGATAGGGGAGATCGTGGCATTGTGGTAATGTCACTAGCTGAGTAATCAAGAGGTTCAGGTTTGAGGTCTGGGGACATGGATTCACCATAGCATGTGGTGGAAATTAAATTGGATTAATAAAGTTGGTCCCAGTCATGCTGACAACAGCAGTTATCATAGATTACAGTAAATACCCATCTGATTCACTAATGTCATTTAGGGAATAAAATCTGCCATCCTTTTCCAATATGGCCTACATATGAGTCCAGGCACATAGCAATATGGTTTACTCTAACAGAGCCCTTTCAGAGGATAGTTAAGCCTCACAGTTCAAAGGTATGTACAGATGGACAACAAATTCTGGCCTTGTCAATGATGAACATATCCCACGAAAGTATAATGAAAAGAAATATGATTGAGGTGGAAATAAGTAGTCTTACAGAGGGAATTCAAGGCTGGAAGCTTACTTTGAGATTGTACAAAATAGGAGCAGAGGAGATCATTTAGCCTCAAAACTGGTCTGTTAGTGTTTTAAATTCCATTGGCCCATCTAATCCATTTCACTAATCCACGCACCGTCTCTGACTGGACCAGCATCCCAGAGGCAGCTTTTGAATTGGTTACTTCTAAGTTAAGTAGTTTCAACTTCCCATTACATCTGGGTGGCAGGCAAGACCCGAGACCATTTGGACTGTGTCCGAAATAGAAAAATCCAACATTTGATTGAGGAGAGACTTCTAACAAGACTGCTGGTATTGTGCAGGAAAATATGTATTTAGTTCGTGCTAGCCTCCAGTTCCTGAATCCAGGTTTCTTATCGGTGGTTTTATGAACAAAGTTATTTGAAGAGTGAACTACTGAGATTTCCAGTTCTTTCAGTTCACAAATAATTACAAACCTTCAATTCTCATCACGTATTATGTTGGAATATTAAGCATTGGGTAAACTGCCAGTTTTTTTAAAATTTATTCTGCGTTTGTCCACTGGTTTATGAGGCAATTTAATATGTGACCAAATCTAGTTCTGCCCCATATAATTTATATCATCTTAGAGTCAGAGAAACCCACTGCACAGGAAAAGGCTCTTTGGACCTTCACATCTATGATGGTCAAAAACAATCACCTAACTATTCTCATCCCATTTCCCAACACTTGGCCCATAGCGTTGTATGCCTTGGCAACACAAATGCACATCCAAATGCTTCTTAAATGTTGTGAAGGTTTCTCCCTCGACCAACCCTACAGGCAGTCAGTTCCACATTCCCACCACCCTCTGGGTGAAAGATTTTTTGTCATATCTCCTTTAAAATTTGTTCCACTTGCCTAGAGATTCTAATTGTGTGTCAGTATTGTCCCTATCTCTGAACCAGGAAACCTAGTTCGAGTTCCACCTTCTCTAGAGGTGTGTAATATCATCCCTGAACAGTTTGATTAGAAACTATCTAAATATATGCCCCTCCCCAGTCATTATTTACCCCTTGACAATCTTCTCTAGCATATCTATGCCCTCATAATTTTATGCATCTTAATCATATCCTCACTCAACCTCCTCTGCTTTAAGGAAAACAACTCTAGACTGTCCAATTTCTCTTCATATCTGAAACTCTCCTGCCCAGGAGACATCCTGATAAATCTCCTCTGCGCCCTCTCCGTGCTATCACATCTCTCCTATAATTCCAGAACTGCACACAATGCTGTAGCTATGACCTAACCAGTATTTTATAGAGTTCTGGCATAACCTCATTGCTCTTAAACTGTATGCCTTGACTAATAAAGGCAAGTATACCATATGCCTTCTTAACCACTTCATCCACTTGTCCTGATACTTTGAAGGGTCTGGGTGTACATACACACCAGAGTCTCCCTGATTCTTGGTGCTCCCGAGGATCCTACCATTCATCATGTATTCCCTTGCCTTCTTTATCCTGCTCAACTGCATCACCTTACACTTAGCCGCATTGAATTCCATTAGCCACTGATCAGCCCATCTGATCAACTGTCTATATCCTCCTAAAATCTAAAGCTATCTTCCTCACTATTTACCAGCCAACAATATTGTATCATCTGTAAACTTACTCATCAACACTCCTACGTTCAAGTCTAAATGATATATATTAACCACAAACAGCAAGGGCCCCAACACTGCCCCCTGTGGGACCTCACTGGACACAGACTTCCAGTTGGAAAAATACCTCTCAACCATCATCCTCTGATTCCTTTCAATCGGTCAATTGTAGATTCAATTTGCTAAATTTCCTTGGATCCCATGGGCTCTTGCCTTCATTATTAGTGGCCCATGCAAGACCTTATCAAAAGCCTTGCTGAAGTCTAAGACAATGACATCAAATACATTGTCTTCATCTACATACCTGGTCACCTCTTCGAAAAATTCAATCAAGTTAGTCAGACATGACCTCCTTTTTACAAAACCATGCTGACTGTTCTTGATTTAATCCCTACCTTTCCAAAAGCTGATTAATTCTGTCCCTGAGAATTACTTCCAATAGTATCCCCACCACTGAGGTTACACTGACTGGTCTATAGATTCCCGATTTATCCATTGCTCCCTTCTTGACCGCGCTGCCTTTCTTCCAGTCTTTGGGCACCTCTCCTGAGGCCAGAGAGGAATTGAAAATGTTTACAAGCACCCCTGATATTTCTTCCTTTGCCTCACTCAACAGCATGGGATGATTTCATCCGGCCCTGGAGATTTATCTATTTTTAAGTCTGCAGTCCACTCTGAGCTTCCTCTCTGATTATGGGAAGGTAGAATATTCTTTTTTCATTGTCCTTTCCATTAGACTATCAAATGATACTATCGTTGTGAACATACAATGATTATTTGTTTGTATATTTTGGTTCTTTTCACTTCATTCTTCTGTTTTTCAACATTCATTCAGACAGACAGGTTTTTGAGCTGGTAAACATCCTGATGTAACCAATGGATTACCTGAACTTTAACTCTGCTGCATTTTACTCCAATGGCTCGCATCAGCCAATCTCCAGAGCAGCAGAAACAGGACTTGGGTTTGTTCTGCACATTGTGACTATGTGGAAGGTCTGAAGCACTGAAATTGCCTGGGAAGTTAAAGTCTACTGGATTGATTCTTCTTCTGCCATCATTTTCTATGCTCACCTATCTTCCCTGGAGAGTCTGTGCTGCCTCACTGCTGTAGTTGGGTTTAGAAATCTGGACTTAGATGTGCAATATTTTTGGAATCCAGAAAATAACCTGTTTACTGATGCTCAGTTTGGTTTCCTTCAGGACTACTCAGTACCTGAACTCTCCACTAGTTGGAGACACACCTAGCACGAAGGAATGTTATTATGGTTACTTAAGGTCAATCACCTATACCCCAGGACATCAGTGCAGTAATTCCTCAGCAATAGCAAATATGGAGAAGGCAAGTGGTGAGAATGGTGGACTTATGGTGGCAGAAGCTTGGCAGATGAAATATAATATCGGAATGCGAGGTTCTACATTTTGGCAGCAAGAATTGAGGAGCTGAATATTAAATGGGCAACACTACAAAAAGCTGCAGCACAGAGATTTGGAAGTTCTTATGCATAAATCACAGCTAGTATCCGTGTTTAACAGGTAATAGGGAAGGCAAATGGAATGTTGGCCTTGGAATGGAGTATGGAATAGGGAGGTCACACTAAAACTATACAAGGCACTAGCTAGAACAAGCCCAGAATATTGTGAACGTTTTGGTCCCCTTATCTAAGATATAATGGTAATAGAGGCAGTCAAGAGAAGCTTCACTAGGTTCATCCTGGGTCTGGAGGGATTTTATCATCAGAAGAGGTTGAGTAAGTTAGGCCTGTACTCATTGGAGTTAAGAAGAATAAGAGGTGACCTTTAATGAAACATACAATTACTTAGAGGGCTTAAAAGGGTAGATGAGGAGAGCTTTTTTCTCTGTGGGAAGATCTTATTAAAAAGTGCATAATCTCCGAGGAAAAGGTTACCAATTTTAGGTAGACCTGAGGAGGAATTTCTTCTTTCAGGGGGTAGTGAATCTGTGGCATTCTTTACTATGTAAAGGCTGGAAGTATATTCAAGGCTCAGATATTTTTGAAAAACCTGAAAGAACTGTTGATGCTAGAAATCAGAAACAAAAACAGAAATTGCTAGAAAAGCTCAGCACATCTGGCAGCATCTGTGGAGAGAAATCAGAGTTAACACTTCAGGTCGAGTGACCCTTCCTCGACTCGAAACGTAACTCAGATTTATTTTTAATCAATAAGGGAAATCAAGGGTTTTGGGGAAAAGATGAGAAAGTGAACTTGAGGATTATCGGATCAGCCATCATCTCATTGAATAGTAGAGCAGTCTCGAAATGTCAAATGTCCAACTTCTACACCTTGGTCTTATGGTGGTGTCACAGGCCCAACAATCTTCAGTTGCTTCCTCACAATCTTCAGCACCATTCACAATTCCTCTGACACTGAGCAGTCCATCTCCATTTAGAGGAAGATTTGGACAACATCTAAATTTGGACTGATAGTTGGCAAGTAGCAGTTGGTGCCACACAAGTGCCAGGTAGTTCCCCTCTCTCCAACAAGAGAGAATCTAATGATCATCTTTTGGCTTTGAATGCCTTTGCCATTCCTGAATCCCCTGTGATCAACATCATGGGAGATATGCTAGATCAGAAGCTGAACTGGGCCAGCCACACACATACTGTGCCTACAGGGAAAGTATTGGAATCCTTCAGTGAGTAACTCCTGACTTCCCAAAGGCTAGCTACCACCTACAAGGTGTGAGATTGAAACTTTTGTACAAACATTATGGGTTCGTGGTAAGATATAATATCCTGCCTAGGTCAAATGAGCAATATGTCCCATGAAGAAAAGTGACATGTAAAGCAAACATTTTAAGATATGAAAGATTGAGGATGAGTATTTGGACATTAGACCTTAGTCTTTGACTGCTTCTGGGTGTGTGATAAGGCATGTAGTGCATTCAAACAGTGTGAAAGGCAGGTGTGGTATGTTGTGTGTGAGATCTCCTGTGAAGATCCAATCACTGGCCCTGGCCATCTATGAAGCCAATAGACATCCTGTGGCCCTGCTTTAGGTCTTGGGTCCAGACTCTGAGAGTTGGTCTCCCTAGCTATCTGCTCTCACTCCTTCCAAATGTGGTCATTGACGGCCTTCTGACTGGTCCTTGCAGATCCATGGCATCTCTCTTTTGGATCACCTCCAGTACAAAGCATCTGACACCACATCCATCCTGCAGGAACACCAATTGCCACCATGCTCCTGTGTTCCCACTGTCATCATTTAATATTTCTCTCCCATCTAGAAAAAGCAACTGTTCAGAACTTCTCTCTGAATTCTGTCCTTTTAGCCATCCTGCCACTGTCCTTTTAATGCTTAAGTTTGTTTCCTCCACATTTCACTGTCTCCCTAGCCAGCCTTTCTGAAATCTATTCTCGGGATATAGGTGTCTCTAACAAAGCCAGCATTTATTGATCATGCCTAATTGTTCTTGAGAAGCTGACAGTGAACTTTCCTTCAGTCGCTGTGGAAGACAATTCTACAATATGATGGAGTTCCAGGATTTTGAAGCTGTGAGAAAATAGTGATATATGTCCAAGTTGGGATTGTTTGTGATTGCTGCTATTATTCTTCAAGTTGATAGAAATTTAGTTGGTTTGGGATATGCTTTTGCTAAATGTACACATTGCATTTTATGAATTTGAAATCACCATGTCCTCAGCCACTTATGTAACACCACTCAACTTTGTTCCACTGGAATGCAAGCTATAAATTAATGCAACTGTGATTCAAATTTGGCATAAATTCAGTAGCAGAAGAATCTAATTGACATTTTCCAACTGTAAGTACATTCACAAAATGGATGAGTGTTAACATAAAGATGATTCTGTTATTTAAACAGATTGCAAGTAAATCATCTTTTGAGATAAAGTTGCACTCTGTGTATTCATTTTGAACAGCAATGAACAAAGGTTCCTTGTCCTTAGAGCTATGTGTGTTATATGTGTTCCATCAGACCTTCTAACGATTAAATCTTTGAATATTAATATTTCACAGCAATGTTATGATTATTGTGATCTATGTGATTACCACATTTATGTATATCTCAAGTCATCTTTGCTGCCATTGAAATATTCAAATATTATTAAATGATGACAATTATAGTGACACAAAATGCCATATGTAGTTACTGGCCATTGCACTAGAAAGGAACTGACAGTGAGCGGGTAATTTAACTTGAGCAGGGATGTAAAAACCAATGGGTAGCACATCTGCCCACCAATTATACATTCTGCCCAGTGCTCAGTTCCATTGAAGTCAGAAATAAATATTGGGCAGGATAATTAATATGTCTGGCCTATAGCACTGGAAGATATCGCACCGCAAGTGAACATCTAAATGCAGCTTAAATATGGCTTCAGTAGGCAGTTCACTATCAGCTTCTGAGGGACAGTTGGCATGATCAATAAATGTTTTTGACACAATCACTCTTTCAGACAGTGAGTTCCAGACTCCCACCACACTCTGGGTGAAAAACATTCTCCTCAGCTCTCCCCTTAGTGCTCTGCCTTAAATCTATGCCCCTAGTTGTTGACCCCAATCCTAATGAGTAAAGTGCTTTTCTATTCACCTTATCTATGCCCTTCACAATCTTAACCAGTTCTATCAGATGCCCTCTCAAACTTCACAGCTCCAAGGAAAGCAACCCTGGAGTAGCCAAAAAACACAAATTGCTGGAAAAACTCAGCAGATCTGGCAGTATCTGAGGATAGAAAGCAGAGTTAACATTTCGGTTCCAGTTATCCTTCTTCAGAACAATTCTTGGGCTGCTTTCACCATCTGCGTCTGCTTCTGGGACCTCTCCATTCTCACTGCTCCTTTTATCCGCACTCTGCTAATCCTGAGTCTCACTCAGTTCCACCACTGGTCCGCCTATTTCTGGGAGCCCTGCAGTCTCACTGCTCCTTTAAATCCTACTGCCATCACTCCAGAGTCCCACACAGAGCTGCTGTGGTTCTGTCTGCTTCTGGGTTGTCATCTTGCTGGCTCCTGTTTTCCTCTGGGACCATTTTAATGCAATTATATCACATTATTTAGATTAAATGTTTAATATTACTGAAGGAATGTAGTACACTTTCCTTTAAATCATATACATAAGAAAGCCTTTGCAGAACTTGTACTAACTTTCTTTCATGATCATTTTGTTGGAAGCCCGGGAGCTGCCAGCTAATAGTTAAAACAAATAAAGGATTTACCCATGCTATTTATTTATCTACAAAAATGTGGTTTCCACAGCAAAAAAAATTCATGTAATCTGTTTGGTATATAGCACTCCTCCATATCTGGAATTTAATCTGCATTTTGTAGCAATCATCAGCTCTTCTGTATGTGTTAGTTATTACAGCATGAAAGGTATGCACTAGTATTTCATTCAATAATTCAAGACATTTGTGGGGGGAGAAAAAAAAAGAACTCTACAAGACATTTTATGTGTGAAGAAAATATTTGACTCTTACCTTAATTTACAGAAATTGCTGACCTTCAGTAATCAGTGAAGACCACAAAATTTAGAACCTTAGAAAGTTTCTTGGACAGTTTAAACTGTGTAAAGTAGACTGTTGTACACGAAGAGTTGATGCACTACATTGTATTAGCATACTGCCACAGAAATCTGTACGGTGAGTACAGCGCCATAAACCATATTTCCAACCTGCAGGTCAAAAGAAAAGTTGGCATAGATTTCTGCTTACAACAACTGGGGAATGTCATTTGGAAAATCTGAACTGGATCAATAGCAGCTTCCAGACTTTTTTAACCAAACAGAACGCGCTTACATATATTCGTTGAAAGGTTGAATGATTAATTGATGTTCTTAATCTGAAAGCATCCATTCTATAACTGAACAGAGTACAATATTCTGAAATTTGAAAAAGCAATTTTGTGGGACCACGAACTCTTGTGTTCATCACGTTAATTATGAGTCAAATGATACAAAGGTGATGTGTCTAATTTTCCTGGTTGCTTTGAGCCCTAGGCATATATGACACATTTGAAGGTTGCCATACCTATCTAACATGAGCTGTGGCCAGTTTAGATTACCGGCTTTTTCAAGACTTACAAGTCCAGCCGTGCCTACCTCGGGAAGTCTGAGTATTGCTGCCTGAGAAATTGTGGTCCAGTAGATCTGTATCTTTTATTTTTATGGAGTGTTCGCAACCAGAGATTGGGAATAAAAGTCAGGAAAGTTAGCTCTAGGAATAACAGGTCAGAAAGCTGAGCTTGTCAGGGCAGAGAACGTGTTTGGACATAAAACATGCGACTGAATCGTGGGCGTGTCAGGTAAGCAAATCTAGGCAAGTGGTGCAGTATTGAGCAGGAGACAGAACATACAGCTAGGAGGAGGATTGGGTTCCAGGAGTGGAGACATGGGCAACGTTTAGACAACCTAACTTTGAACCAAAGGCCGCAAAAGTGAAGGGCCTAATGCCTGCTTGAGGCTTGAGAAAACAGCAGTACCTGTTTTTTATCTTCCAAAATGAAAGCAAGTGTACTTCATTTTGGAGGCATCTGGCTTTCCACCTACGATGTTGGGACCTTGATATACAACTTTGCGCCCAAAAGAGGTACTACATGACCAGATTTACATGGCAAAGTATAGAAACATTAGCTTTCTCTTTGGTATTAATAGTTAAATTGCAGATCGTTGTCAATAGTGGGCAGGAAAATTCAATTCATTTGTTAACTGTTCGAAATAATTCTGCTACATACTTCCAATTAGAATTCAGAAAAGGAGTGTATCCAGAGCATTATCTCAGAATTATACACCTTTTCATCTTTAAATCTTACTTATGCAACTCACCAAAGTATTCAGATCATTTAATTTGAGAACTTTCTTTCAGTAGGAAGAAACTATTACGCAGTTTAGTTGCACAATCTTAGTTACAAAATCATAGGATTTAATTGAGGTCATAGAGTCATAGAGATATTCAGCATGGAAACAGTCTAACTCATCCATGCTGACCAATATCCTAAATCAATCTAGTCCCATTTGCCAGCATTTGGTCCATAGCCCTCTAAACCCTTCCTATTCATATACCCATCCAGGTTCCTTTTAAATGTTGTAATTATACCAGCCTCCACCTCCTCCTCTAGCAGTTTATTCCATACACACACCACTCTCTGCGTGAAAAAGTTGTCCCTTAGGTCCCTTTTACATCTTTCCTCTCTCACCTTAAACCTATGACCTCTAGTTTTGGACTTCCCCACCCAAGGAAACAGACCTTGGCTATTCACCCTATCCATACCCTTCACGACTTGATAAACCTCTATAAGGTCACCCCTCAGCTTCTGACACTCCAGAGAAAATAGATCCAGTCTATTCAGCCTCTCTCTCTAGCTCAAACCCTTCAACGACAACAACATCCTCGTAAATTTTTTCTGAACTCTTTCAAGTTTAACAACATTGTTCCTATAGCAGGGAGACCAGAACTGAACACAGTATTCTAAAAGTGGCCTAACCAATGTCCTGTACAGCTGCAACATGACATCCCAATGCACTGACCAATAAAGTTAAGCATACCAAATGCTGCCTTCACTACCCTGCCTATCTGCAACTTCACTTTCAAGGAACTGTGAACCTGCATCCCAAGATCTCTTTGTTCAGCAACACTCCCTAGGACCCTACCATTAAGTGTATAAATCCTGCCCTGATTTGTGTTTCCAAAATACAATACCTCACATTTATCTAAATTAAGCCTCTTCTGCCACTCCTCAGCCCATTAGCCTATCTGATCAAGGTCCCATTGTATTCTGAGGTAACCTTCACTGACCACTACACCAACAATTTTGGTGTCATCTGCAGACTTACTAACCACAGCTCCTATATTCACATCCAAATCATTTTTATAAATGACAAAAAGCTGTCAACCCAGCTCCAAGCCTTGTGGCACACTGCTGGTCACAGGCCTCCAGTCTGAAAAGCAACCCTCTACCACCACCCTCTGTCTCCTATCTTCAAGCCAATTTTGTATCCAAATGGCTAGCTCCCCCTGTATTCCATGTGATCTAACCTTGCTGACTAGTCTACCATGTGGAACCTTGTAGAATGCCTCGCTGAAGTCCATATGGACAACGTCCACCGTTCTGCCTTCATCAATCTTCTTTGTCACTTCTTCAAAAAACTCAAAGTTAGTGAAACACAATTTCCCACGCACAAAGCCATGTTGACTATCCCTAATCAGTCCTTGCCTTTCCAAATATGTGAAAATCCTGCCCCTTATAATCCAGGTGATAAAGTTGTTCTCATAACTTTTGAATGAAGCATTGAGAATGAACACAAAATCATTTTTAAAGCCTATTTTAGGAACTAAATTTAAATAATAACTGAACCACCTTCGTGTGGGTTAAGAGATTATTCCTTTACCTACATTATCTGAAGAAGGGTCCCAACCCAAAACGTCAACTTTCCTACTCCTCTGATGCTGCCTAGCCTGCTATGTTCCTCCAGCTCCATGCTGCGCTGTCTCTGACTCCAGCATCAGCAGTTCTTACTATCTCTTATAGACTAATCTATAATTTTATGCAGTGAGTAGTTAGAACCTGAAATGAGAGGGTTGTGAAGGCAAATCAGTCGTGGCTTTCGAGATAAAATCGGATAAGAATCAAAAGAGAAACATTTGCAGAGCTAGAAGAAACCGTGGAGATGGGGAGGGCCAGCTGAATCGCTCTTGTAAAATGCCAGCAGAGGTATGACAAACCATTTTTGTGTTCATGTGAAAAAAAGGAAAGCAGAATAGATTTTTTTAAAATATCTGCCAGAAATAAAGTGGACTTCAATTTACTTTGAGCTGAAGCAGTGCCTATAATATATAGGTGAGTACTCTGGCTTGTAAAGGTTCATAAACTGCTAGCTTACTGATTCACACACCAGAACACCCACTATTTTCTACAGGGCATCAGTGATGTGTGGTTGGTTTATGTTAGAGTTTACAGCATTAGCAATATTGTAGACGGAATACTGGGGAATATTTTGTTTGACCTCTAACTACGTGACCAATGAGGTTTTTGAATTTACTATAATATTGTCAAACACCACTTGGGTTGAACAGGTAGCGGTCCAAAGTGCTGTCTACCCCAAGAATTCAACAGTAACCTGCATGCACTATATTGAATAATTTTGACCTACTGTCTCTGCAATTGTGTTGGAAATCCTGCTTATTTGTCAGAATGAGGATACATCCCAAACAATTCTCAATACCTGCAGTGTCAGCTATTTTCAGCTGGTAGCATTATCACCTCTGATTCTGACATTTGTGGTTTCAGGAAAATGTATGGAATCCTAGTACAATAGTACAAAAAAAAAGTGATTTTTTTTGGCTCCTATAATAAACTATTGGTAAATGCACTAAGTATCAGGGTCCAGGCACAAATTAATCTTTTTCTAAATTTTGTAATCCTTCATGGGACGTGAGCATAACCAACCAGCTTTTATTGTTCATCCCTAATTTCCCTCGGAAATGTGATAGTGAACTGCCTTCTTGAATCATTGTTGTTCTTCAGGTGTAGGAACACCGACAGTGCTGACAGGAAGGGAATCGACCATCCCTCCTAACCTTCTGCTCTCCTATGCTGATCGTTCTGTACTCCGCAAAGGCCTCAGCTTTATTCCTCTACTTCCCCACCTTAACAAATTTCAGGCATGACATGACATCGAACTCTTCGTCTGCCGTCTTCGCCTTCGTGCCCATTTCTTTGGACAAGAGTCCTCTCCCCGTCCCACAGACCCTTTCGCCCAGTTCCAATGCGTTCCCTCCACCTGGGCCCCATCCCCACAACCGGCCTTTTACCCGCACTCAATCTGTTCATTGAGAACTGTTGATGTGATATTTGTCGCCTCAATTTCTCTGTCCTCCTCAGCAAATCCAACCTATCTCCCTCCGAACTGACTGCACCCTGTGCGCTTAGATCTAACCCTGATGTTGTTATTAAGCCTGCCGATAAGGGTGCTGCTGTTGTAGTCTGGCGTACTAACCTCTACATTGCAGAGGCTGAGCACCAGCTCTCCGATTCCTCCTCCTATCTTCCCCTGGACCATGACCCCACTATGGTATATCAGGTTATTGTACCAACTACAGTAATTGATCTCATTTCATCTGGTGATTTCCTTCCCTCCACCCCCCCAACCCCGCAAGCCCCGCACAGCTCGCTTCAACCTTCTTCCAAAAACACAAATAGGACTGACCAGGCAGACCCATTGTTTCAGCCTGCTCCTGCCCCACAGAATTCATCTCTTCCTAGCTTGACTCAGTCTTCTCTCCCCTGGTCCAATCCCTGCCCACATACATCCATGATTCCTCTGACCCTTTACGCCAGTTTCAAAATTTCCAGTTTGCAGTTTTGAACCACCTCCTCTTTACCATGGATGTACAATCCCTTTACATGTCCATCCCCCACCAGGATGGTCTCAGGGCTCTCCGCTTCATCCTGGAGCAAAGGCCTGAACCGACCCCACCCACCACCACTCTCCTCCGCTTGGCCGAGCTTGTCCTCACTTTCAAAAACTTCTCTCTTAACTCCTGTCATTTTCTTCAGGTCAGAGGGGTGGCCATGGGTACCCACATGGGCACCAGTTATGCCTGTCGCTTCATGGAATACGTGGAACATTCCTTGTTCCAGTCCTATTCTGGCCCCACCCACAACTCTTTCTCCGATACATCGATGATCTCATCGGTGCTACATCCGTCTCTTGTCTGGAATTGGAAAAGTTCATCGATTTTGCTTCCAATTTCCACCCTGCCCTCACTTTCACCTGGTCTATCTTTAACTCCTCCCTTCCCTTCCTCGACATCTGTTTCCATTTTTGGGGATAGACTGGCCACTAATATCCACTGTAAACCCACCGACTCCCACAGCTACCTGGACTATACATCCTCACACTCTGCTTCCTGTAAAGGCTCCATTCCATTCTCTCAGTTCCTCTGTTTCCGTTGCATATGTTCAGATGAGGCCAACCTCATTAAGGGAGCCTCTGAAATGTCCACCTTCTTCCTCAACTGAGGATTCCCCAGCACCACTGTCGACAAGGCCCTCAACTGGGTCTGACCCATCTCCAACACTTCCACCCTCTCCCCTTCTTTTCCCTCCCACAACAGC